TTCCTTATACGGTAAATCTATTCAGAAGGATATAAATACATCGAGACATCTATGGAGTGAAGCGATTTTTAAAGCCAACTTCGATTCACACGTCAAAAGCTATGAAAAAGGAAATGATAGTCAATATTTAGTTGAGATGAATGAAGAAGAAAAAGAGTTTGTTCCTCCAGAGGATTTTACTAGATTAACACCCACTCATTTAGGTGCATTTATATTATCTCACAGTAAAAAAATAATGAACAATTTCATTCACGTCATAGATGGATTTTATAAGCCGGAAATATACTATACAGATACCTATAGTTTATACATTTCGTCTTGTAATTGGGATAAATTAAATGAAGCTGGGTTGGTGTCTGAAAACGAATATAGCAAAGGGAAGAATGATTACGGTGATGGTGGAATCATATTTGGTTTATATTTAGCGCCAAAAGTAAAATACAATATCATTCTAACTTCCGACGGTGTTTTAAAAGAAAAGAAAACGTTTAAGGGTTACTCTAACTATAAGATTAAGGTAGAAGACTACATTCAATTAGCTAGTGGACATGACGTAACGAATAAATTTAAGAAACCTTGGGTAAGAAGTTTCACCAATGGAATAGTTATTCCTAATGAAAAACAAAAGAAAGTTTTCAGAAGTTATCTGAATCTCGTTAAGAGAAAAGCACCAAACAGTGAAGGAATTGTGTATCCTTACAACAATAAAGATGAGATGTGTTTGGATGAAAACTTTGAATTTGATGATTTCGATTATCTAACTATTCAAGAAGAGAATGAAGAGTGTTAATTTTTTTGTTTTAAATGAAGTTGAATAACAATTTCCTCGTTACCAAAATCTATAAACCTATTTTTACCATCTTTGATTTCCAGATTTATATCTTTAATCATAAAGGAATTAAGTGGTAAATACGTCGTTTGAAATGGTTTCTCTATAATTCTATATCCAATAGGTACAGTGAATGTTGGAAGACTGTAAATAATCTGACGTTTGTATTTATTGAAAAATCCACCGTTTATTAAATTGCAATGTATATTTATCACATCGATATCATTCTCGATATTAGCTTTGAGTGGATTGAGTATATTTCTTTATCAAAACCTAGTAACGTATTCAATGAATTTTCTACGTTGAAATCAACTTGACTATTATTTCTTAATATCAATTTTATTTTGTTTAGATTTAAATTACCATCGAATTCGATATTGTTTTTACCATTGACGCTTCCTGCATATTCAGATAAGTATTCGTTAATGGCTATGTATTCGTAGCTTCCTGGTAGTAAACGTATGGTTTTGAATGTAACTCCATTATCTGTTGATATTTTTATTTGGTTATTTTTTTCGTTGATATTTCTAATGAAATTGTAAACAGAGAAATACTTTAATCCCAATTCACATTCTTGATTGCGATCGAGTTCGTACTCATAATCTAGAGATAATTTGATGTCTGATTTATTCGAGGTGATGACGAATAGTTGTTCTTTATTTGACATTTTTTAATGAATATTTTCAATCACGCTTTTATAATCATTTTTATCTATGATACCTTTCTCCAGGAGTCTTTTTAATATACAATTCACTTCATTAAATTGTCTGTGTGATCGATGTCCTTCCTTCATTGCCGCTAATATTACTCGTAATCTATTAAGCAATTCTTCGTTGTTGTCGGATAAAAACGTTATACCTTGTCCAGATACCATATCTTCGAATTCGTCTATTTCTTGTATGATTGGTGGATAATCATCTGCATAATCATCTGGATACTCTTCATCAGGAATAACTTTATTAAAATATGTTTCAACTGCTTTCAATCTTCTTGTTTCGGGTCCTGACTTTCTTATTGCATCTAGAAATTTGGAGTATGCTAGTAAATCCTTGTAATCGGCAGTGCCAATATACCCGCCATTCATTAAATCTATTAATCCTGTCGTTAATATAAATATTAAGTTTTTTGTGTCGATTTGGAATATAGGGGAATTTGCCCTAAATTTAATTCTAAATCCATTAAACAATAACCCCTCATCATCAATGATTGGTGTAATACTCTTCGGTAAATCTGCTTTAGGGTTTGAAAAAAGACAATTTATATCATCTAATGTCCTAATTATGATTTCATTATCTTTAATGGGATATTCTATTTGATGAGGTTCTATAGGAGGTGTAGGTTCTATAGGAGGGATGAGTCTCTTTCTAATATCCTCTTGAGATTTTAATATGGGTTGAAATAGAGTCTGTAGATTTTCCGTTAATCCGAGTTGTTGTAATCTGTTATTTTCAACTTGGGTTTTTATTTTATTCTTAGCTTTGATATATTCTCTATTTCTTTTTAAAATATTATTCCAATCCATTTTTAAAAAAAAAAATGAACATATATCGTTCATAACTCTTTCACCCCGCAGGTTTTCTAGTATTTACAAATACATATCCATGATCATCTGGATATCTCCATTGAGCTTTACAAACCTTTTTAAATGCATCTCTTTCCATTCCGTGATTTATCGATTGAACGATTTGAGATAAATCTTTGTCGTTTAATTCAAATAATAAAAAACAATTTGCTCTAATGAACATAGAATCCATCCCGTAAAAGGATTGGGATTGGTATATGCAGTGACAGTGGTGTTGTCTTCCTTTCGTGAAGAATTCTTGTTGAACGGTTTGATTTCTTTGCGCCACGCAGTCGTCAAACAACATTAAGTTCTTTCGCTCGACAAATCTAGATCATTAACATTTTTCGTAAGAAAAACTTTTATATCCGTTGGTTTCTTTCCTTCGATGTAGTTATCTATGAAATCTTTCAATTCCACTTTTTCTTCGTTTTCTTTGTAATATTGAAATAGGTCGTGAACATCTCTCTTTGGTAGATATTCTAAAGTTTTGAGAAATTGATAATACGATTGCTCTGGTGTTGTTGTGTAGATATACAAAGAATCGAAATCTAAAAGGTTTGGTGTTGTAAACATGTTAGAAGTGAGCTGAGTTTTCCCAGAACCGGAACTACCGCATATACATGAGCATTGGGTTATTAGGAAATATTTCTGAATGATTAAATTTTTTACCCATTTTTTATTATTTTAATTTGTTCCAAAAATAACTCCTTCTCCTTTATACTTCGAAAGTTTAAAAATATTCCATTACCCTTATGACTTTGATTTCTCCTATGTCAATACTATCTACTAATTTTTTTAATCCTTGTTTAACAGTTTTCTTGGTTTCTTCACTAAATCTTTTTCCAAATTCTTTCATTGTGCCTATCATTTCTCCCACTCCTGAACCTTCGGCCAACTTTTCCATTTTTAAATTATGTCTACGTTGTTCGGCTGCTTTCTTTGCGTCGGCAGCAGCTGTTACTTCATCTGCTTTCTTATCGTTGGCAGCTTTTATTCCACCAGCTGTAGCACCAGCTATTGTACCGGCTGCAATAAGTCCACTAAATATTAAAGGTAGGGAAAATATAAATCCACCTTCAATTCTTTCTAAATCTATATCGTCTCTGACTTTACAATATTTGTATTTATCAATAAGTTTTTTAGTTATGCTGATTTTTTTTACCATTATAAGTTATTGTAGTTGGTGAAGCTGTTTCTATAGCTTCTATTATTTTCATAACTAAAGTTTCTGCTTTCATTTTTAAAGGGTGTTTTTTATTCAATTCTTATCATTCTTCTATCTGCTATTTTAATTAAATGTTTTGCTTCTTCCAATAATAAACAATAACCTGTTACATCTCCTTGTGTTTTTTCAATATGAATATTTATGTTCACTCCTGTTTTGAAAAGATCTTCTTGGTGAGCTGAAAGATCAAAACAGAAGATTGGATGATTAAGTGCAAAATCTACATATTCAAACTGAGGTAGATTTCCGAATAATTCACACATATTTTTATAGTTTCTATGCAATTCATTGTGGATTCTATGCAATTCAATGTGGATTCTCCAGTTAAAGTCATTCTACCTACAGTGTTACGATGAAGACAAGCTATTTCAATATCTTTAGTTAACGAGTTGAATATTTTCGTTTCTACTTCAATTGATGGTGTTATTACGGGTATGAAAAGTTGGAGATTCGTTATTTCTAATTTTGCATCTGAACCATTCTCTCCAAAGAATATCTTATCGTCGTTGATTTCTCTTTGTAGATAAATTTTATATGGTAAGCCTATAGAAACTTTTCTATGTTCCAACAGACCGAATAAAGGATATAATTTCCAATTTACGTAATTACCCCACCTATTATTCTCAACAACATTATTATACTGAAATACTCGTTTTTCGAATCCATGATTAACTGCTCGTCCTACTCTTTCTATCGTGTTCTGAAATAAGCATCGGAAAGATGCAACCAATTCGATAATGAATTTATTTCGAAGGTTATTCTACCACCATCATTCAATTGGGTGAGATGATAATATAATCCTCTTTTTTCTTGTTAAATGAATAACGAACTTGGATCGTATAATCTAAAGATTGGATCTAGTATTTTATTTGCCATTTTTAAGGTTTAAAATTTTTTTTTTTTTGATGGAATGTAGGAAATTGATTTAAAGTGTTTTTTTGGTGTATGAAATGTAGGGGGTGTAAGAATTTATGAAATGTAGGGAATATAGGTGTAAGAATTTAGGTCTTTTGCTATAAGAATATATGAAATGTAGGATGTTTAGGTCTTTTTTAGTGTAAGAATTTATGAAATGTAGGGAATTTAGGTCTTTATGTTATGGGAGCTTTCAATTAGGGGCGCATTTTCCCCATGAAAGCTCTAGTACTACTACTTGCCGCGGCCAGACCAGCAAATATCAAAGGTAGGAAAGGTAAAAATCCTTCTTCCTTTACACTCATTCTTTCCAAATCTATATCATCTCTAACTTTACAATGTTTATATCTATCAATAATTTTCTTACCGGTTCTTTTAAAACTCTTCCATCACTAACATCGGGTATCCATCCAGAAACAGAATCGTAGTTTTTGGGATATAGAACTGTTGTCATTGTGTCAAATTATCCGGGGTGTTTGATGGTTTCTATGGTATTTGAACCAGCTTCCAAAACCATTTCATTAATAAATAATGAGAAGAAATTGTTTTCTAAAGTTGTGTTGGTTTGTGTTACACGATTCTCATTGGGAGTTCCGTCTTTGATTTTGAAATCGCATCTGACGGAAGCAACCAATTCGATAATGAATTAATCTCGAAAGTGACCCTACGTCTAGTTGAGACCTAGAGCCTACGGTTGGTGTTATGATAATGTAATCCTCTTTTTTCTTATTAAATGAATAACGAATTGGATCATATAATTGAAAGATCGGATCTAATCTGTAATTTTTTTCTGCCATTTTTAAAGATATGTTTTACCCTATTATTTACTCCCATGGAAATGCAGTTTTATGTTTTAATAAATACAATTGTTTACAAAATTAATTTTTAATACAGAAAATTTAAAACATAAACAATTACATGTATATTGATATACATGCAATGTTATCTCCCTCTTACACAATCTTCAGATATAGTTTAGAATCGGTAGATACACTTTAAGGTCCTAGAGAATCGGTAGTCATAGTTTAGGGGTCATGACCGCTCCTAGAGAATCAGTAGTCATAGTTCAGAGTTATTTCCCCTCTTACACAATCAGCTAGTAGTCAGAGTTCAATCTTTAAGACACGAATGGGAACCTTATGCTAAAGAGACTCCCTATTGTTCTATTTTAAAAATCTGTATCACCAATTTGTCACAGTGTTTGGTAAAATTCTTGGCCTCTTTGTATCCCTCTCTGCCTGCGTTGATTTAAATATTCTTCGTGATATGAAATGTTGGCATCTTATAAACTTGTGTCTGGAATAAAACAAAATTGATATTTTAAAAAAAAACAACAAATAACATATCATCTTAATTACACCCTATCGTCTTATGATTAAATTAAACAAAGTACCTTGATTTTGTATGATTAAATTCCTAATCTTCCAGCGTAACAAAATTGAGACAGTGTTAATAGTTGAGAGTTTAGTCTGTCTTATGCTGACGTTGTATGGGTGGAATTTTATATGTTAATATGACCACCTGTTACTTAGTGACGCATATCCAGTCAATAATAGTCTATTGTAAATCAATAACTGTGTATAAACTAGTTGTTATTTTACTCTGAAGTAAATAAAAAACAGAGTTACCTCCCATTAATCAGTTGACATTTGCATCCAACAATTTTAAAACCATTGCCTTGTTGGCTACTTTTGGGATGAGAGATGATAAAGCTGAGAAGAAACCGTCTCCTTCAAATTTTAGTTGTTCGTGTTTTAAAATTGAACTCATTCTGTTTTTAAATGAAGAAATCTATTGAGTGAAGAAGTATATATATTACACAGGTCCTTTTCAACATGAAAAAGCGGAATGGGGAAAATCATCTAATCTACCAATGAATTTGAGAAAAATCGAGGATGTAGACATTGTAAAATATACCGAAGATAATTGGGAATCTTTTTTATACACGAATGGGAACCTTATGCTAAAAGAGACTCCCTATGTCTTGGAGCTTGTTTGATAAAATACAACAAGGCTATGAAAGACACTGTATTCCAGAATGTTTCTAAAAATCTAACGGCCCCTTCTCTATCTTTAAAGGGTTGGTATTATTTGCATCATTACGATATAGAAATGGTTGAAGAACAATATTACGAAAGGACAATACTCTTTCAAAACACACTGAAATGAAAACGTAGAAAAGGTTTATTCACATACATACTTTCCTTATATAAGAAATTTGATTAGACAATCTTTTAAAGGAGGAAGAGTTTCTGCTAACAGAAAATCATTTGAAACGAACAAAATGGATGTAATGTATTAAAGGAGTACATAGAACTAGAAAGTAATAACAATAGTAAATTACAATACAGTAAAAGTGAAAAAGACAAAACGGAAGTTGATTCAAAACTTAAAAAAATAGAATGTAGTATACTAATAGCCTTTTTTTGCTAACGGTTTGTATGCTTCTGCTATGTCAGATTTAGACATATCCTAAAGCGGAAAGGGGAAGACCGTTTCTACCAGAACAAAATGAAGAATTTGTTAAGCTCTTTAATGAGCAGAAATTCAGACCAAGAACAGCTATTTTAAAAGCCTGGTTTAAGTATCCCACTAACATGTTCTTCCAACCAATACCAGCTAAAGATAAAATAACTTTTACGAATAGATTAGGTAAGAAAGAAACTGGCACTAAAATCAGGTTTAGAAATGATTTTTGTTATGATGTTTTATCATCGTTCGATATTCAAGAAATAGTTAAAGCAGGTGGTAAAATACTCAAGATATTAGATGGGATAGTATATGAAGAAAATTTTAAAACTCCACCATACAGAGAATTTTGAGATAAATATAAATCAAATACGTCGTTTGAAATGGTTTCTCTATAATTCTATATCCAATCGGTACAGTGAATGTTGGAATGCTATAGATAATCTGACGTTTGTATTTGTTGAAAAATCCACCGTTTATCAAATTGCAGTGAATATTAATGACATTGATATCATTTTCGATATTAGCTTTGTGTGGTGCTAAAGTGGATTGGGTGTATATTTTGTATCAAAACCTAGAAAAGGATTTAATGAATTTTCTACATTAAAATCAGCTTGACTCTTATTTCTCAATATCAATTTTATTTTTTTCAGATTCAAATTACCTTCGAATTCAATATTGTGTGTACCGTTAGCACTTCCTCCATATTCAGATAGGTATTCGTTAATGGCTACGGATTCATAACTTCCTGGTAGTAAACTTATGGTTTTGAATGTAGCTCCATTATCTGTTGATATTTTTATTTGGTTATTTTTTTCGTTGATATTTGTAATGGAATTGTAAACAGAGAAATACTTTAATCCCAATTCATATTCTTGATTGCGATCGAGTTCAATTTGAGTTCAATGATTCATTTGATTTAACGAATAGTTGTTCTTTATTTGACATTTTTAATCACGCTTTTATAATCATTCTTTATCTATCATCTCGAGAAGTCTTTTTAATATACAATTTACTTCATTATATTGTTTGTGTGATCGATGACCTTCCTTCATTGCCGCTGATAATATTTGTAATCTATTTCAATCCTATTTCATGTATGATTGAATTGTCTTCATATTCATCATCTGTTTCCTCATCTTGATATTCATCACCTGATTCCTCATCTTCATATTCATCAGCAATAACTTTTTTTTATATATATATATAGATCAACTGTTTTCGATCTTCTTGTTTCGAGTCCTGACTCTCTTATTGCATGAAGAAATTTGGAGTATGCTACTAAATCGGCAAAGGGAATGATGGTGGGTACACCATTCATTAAATCTATTAATCATTTTGTTAATGTCTTTTGTATCGATTTTGAATTTGACTTAAATTTAATACTATATCCATTAAACAATAACCCCTCATCAGTGATTGGTGAAATACTCTTTGGTAAATCTGGGTCAGGGTTTGAAAAAAGACGATTTATATCATCTAATGTCCTAATACCACTATATTCATTCGGTTCCGTGTGGTGAGGTTCTATACGAGGGGTGGGACTAAAAACTAAAACTAATTTCTTTTTAATATCCTCTTGAGTTTTTAATATTGGTTGAAATAGAGTTTGTAGATTTTCTGTTAATCCAAGTTGTTGTAATTTGTTATTTTCAACTTGGGTCTTTATTTCATTCTTAGCTTTGATGTATTCTTTATTTCTTTTTAAAATATTATTCCAAACGCTACTGATTTTTAAAAAAATAAAATCAACATATGTCAATCATAACTCTTTCACCAGCAGGTTTTCTAGTATTTACAAATATATATCCATGATCATCTGGGTTTCTCCATTGAGATTTACAAACCTTTTTAAATGTATCTCTGTCCATTCCGTGATTTATAGACTGAATTACTTGAGATAAATCTTTGTCGTTTAATTCGAATAATAAAAAACAATTTGCATTTATTCTAATAAACATAGAATCCATCCCGTAAAAAGATTGGGATTGGTATATGCAGTGACAGTTGTGTATGTCTTCCTTTCGTAAAGAATTCTTGTTGAACAGCTTGATTTTTTTTGTGCTACACAGTCATCAAACAATATTAAATTCTTTCGATTGCTATCAATTTTAGTCAAGTGTAGATCATTAACATTTTTCGTAAGAAAAACTTTTATATCCGTTGGATAGAAAGATGGATTCTTTGCTTTAAATATAGTCATGACATACCGTGTTGCGACGAAGGAAAGCTATTTCAATATTTTTAGTCAACATGTTGACAATTCTCGTTTCTACTTCAATTGGTGGTGTTATGATAGGTATATAAAGTTGGAGATTCGTTATTTCTAATTTTGCATTAAAGAGCATTCTCTCCAAAGAATCATTGATTTCCCTTTGTAGATGAATTTTATATGGTAATCCTATGGAAACCTTTCTGTGTTCCAACAGACCGAATAAAGGATATAATTTCCAATTTACGTAATTACCCCACATATTATTATTCTCAACAACATTGTTATACTGAAGTACTCGTTTTTCAAATCCATGATTAGCTGCTCGTCCCACTCTTTCTATTGTGTTTCGAGTAATAACTCTCATTCTTGCTTCATCCGCATCGTTTGGAACATTTCTTACCGGTTCTTTTAAAACACTCCCAACACCAACATCGGGTATCCAGCCTGAAACTGAATCGAAGTCTTAGGATATAAAACAGGATATTCAACATTGTATCAAATTCCCCAGGATGTTTAATGGTTTCTATAGGATTTGAACCAGCTTCCAAAACCATCTCGCAAAATAAAGATGGAAAGAAATTGTTTTCTAACGTTGTATTAGTTTGTGGTGCCGATTTTCATTGAGAGTTCCATCTTTGATTTTGAAATCACATCTGACATAAGCATAGGAAAGAAGTAACCAATTTGGTAAAGAATTTATTTCGTAGGTAATTCTACCACCATCATTCAACTGGGATTTAGAACCAACAGTAATTATAATATAATCCTCTTTATTCTTGTTAAATGAATAACGAATCGGATCGTGTAATTTAAAGATTGGATCTAGTATGTAATTTTTATTTGCAATTTTTAAGGTTTAGAATTTGAATAGGAATTATGGTCTCAATATTATCAGGTTGCTTTATGGTGAATTTTGTAGCAATTGCGATCTTTGTTTAACATGATGAAAATCCTACAAAAGAAATAAAAAGATATGATATGATGGAGTGGGGTCACGGGAGCAGATCTATTTTTCAATGCAGAGATATATACCATTAGATATCTCGCTGGTTTGACGGTGTAGGTGATTGGCCACGTGGTGCTACGTACCGTGTTACGAAGGAGAAAGGCAATTTCGATGTTTTTTGTTAAAGAGTTGAATATTCTCGTTTTCACTTCTATGGAAGGAGTGATTACCGGTATGTAAAGTTGGATATTCGTTAGGTTGAAGGAAGGCAAAGTTCTAAATACATAAGTTAGCCATAATAAAACCTACATAAACTTATGTAGGTTTAGGTTAGGTTTAGGTCATGCAACAGTTCTAAATATATGTTTTTATTATGGCTATTGTTAGGTTTCGGAGAAGGAAGGGTTTGATTCTCCCAAATGTACAGGCCTAGGGTGGAGCAGACACTTTATTTAGAAATTAGGATTAAGGGTCTTGATATTGGGTTTTCTTCTGTTCTTATTCTGATCTGAAATTAGAAAAAAAAAACTCGCGAGAAGTATAGTATCTGTTATGTACTGATTGTTTTTAGTTTACTATGAACAATATTATCATTTAAGTTCTTATTTTTTGAATATGCAACTATCATTTTCTGCTTATAGACATGGGGGAATTTCTCTTGAAGGCTCTTATAGTGGGCATGAACTATCTTGCTTGCTCGATTGCTGGTTGTATTAAACGGGACAACAAAGGGTGCTATGCCTACATTATGATGAATATTTAGTCCTATAGGTCTCGCTGTATTCAATGTCTCAATCCAAAGGGCCTCCCTAGATTGACGGAATTTGGTAGTTTCATCTTCGGGCAAGTCATATACGCTCAATTGGGATTAGGGTGAAATCGTCTATTGAATGGTCGTCGAGGTTGAAATGATTAGAAACAGGCTTGTATTTCTTTAATTTGATGTCTGACCTATGAGCATTAAAGCGCGTTCGTAAATTATTCTTAGTTTCTCCTACATATTGTTTGGGGCATTTCTTGCATGAAATTAAATATATTACATTCGAATGTTCACATGTTAGATGTTCCTGAGTTGCTTACAAAATAATGAGTTTCTGATATAAAAAGGGACATGTTTTGCATCTACTGGACAAACATGGAGCACTTCTTAAATCTGGAGGTACAGGTTCGGCATAAAGTCTGTTTTTAGCTGCTATCTGTGCTAAGGTGGAAATCAGAAGATCTTGTACAAATTCGATGAAATCGTAAAACTTGTGACTTAATTATACCAGAAAAGGTATGTTTTGGGTGAAAGGAGCTCTTGTGCAAGAGTTGATGAGTATCAGTTTCTTTGAAATACACTTTAATATCCATTTTTTTTGTTTCTGCTATGGAATCTCCCTTAAAGACTGTGGTATCGAGAAAGCTTTTGTCACTCACGTTTGCGGTTAGATTGATAGAAGGATGGTGGTTGTTGAGAATTTCAAAGAATTCCCAGAACTGTTCGATAGAATAAGTCCAAACCGTCCGTAAAAAAGTGGGTCAAATGCCATGAAAAGGTTTGCGTACGAAGGGGCGAATCGTTTGCCCATTGCTGTCCCTGAAGTTTGTAAATATGTTTTACCATTAAATGTGAAATCGTTTCGACTAAGACAAATCCCTCAAAGCTGTAGAATTGCATCGTCGGGTCTGTATGGATCTGGGTTTCTATTAAAAGCTTCACGAACTGCCGTTAAACCAGTAGTGTTATCGATATTGGTATACATAGAAGAAACGTCGATAGATTAAAATAGCATTAGAGGGAACTCGAAGATTTTTTATTTTATTGAAAAAATCGGTTGTGTCTTTAAGGTAGGCGCGATGTTGGCATGCTAGAGGTAGTAAGAAATGAGATAAACCACTCCTTGGTTGGATTCTTATGGATTTTAGGCAAAGTGTACAAATGTCTCTCGCGATAATCAGGTTTGGTTGGATTCTTCTCTCCAAAGAATATCTTATCATCATTGATTTCCCTTTGTAGATGAATTTTATATGGTAATCCTATGGAAACCTTTCTGTGTTCCAACAGACCGAATAAAGGATATAATTTCCAATTTACGTAATTACCCCACCTATTATTATTCTCAACAACATTGTTATACTGAAGTACTCGTTTTTCTAATCCATGATTAGCTTCTTGATTTCCCTTTGTAGATGAATTTTATATGGAAACCTTTCTGTGTTCCAACAGACCGAATAAAGGATATAATTTCCAATTTACCCCACCTATTATTATTCTCAACAACATTGTTATACTGAAGTACTCGTTTTTCAAATCCATGATTAGCTGCTCGTCCCACTCTTTCTATTGTGTTTCGAGTAATAACTCTCATTCTTCCGCATCGTTTGGAACATTTCTTACCGGTTCTTTTAAAACACTTCCATCACCAACATCGGGTATCCAGCCTGAAACTGAATCGAAGTCCTAGGATATAAAACTGTTTTCAACATTGTATCAAATTCCCCAGGATGTTTAATGGTTTCTATAGGATTTGAACCAGCTTCCAAAAACAGTTCGAAATACATAAGTTACTATTATAGCTACTGTTAAGGCTAGTTTGAGGACATGCAATAGTTCTAAATACAGAAGCTACTATCATGACTACTTTTAGGTTAGCAACAGTTTTTATTAGGGCTACTGTTAGGTAACAGTTCTAAATACATAAGGTACCATTATGTGTACTGTAAGGGTTAGGTTGAGGGCAAGCAACAGTTCTCAATACATAAGTTACTTTCATGGCTACCAGTAAAAATTTACTATTATGGCTACTGTTACGATTAGGTTACTATTACGTTTACTGTTAGGGTTAGGTTCAGGGCAGACAACAGTTACAACATAAGTTACTATTATGGCTACTATTAAGGTACGGTTGAGGGCAGGCAACATTTTTAAATACATAAGATAATATTATAGATACATGTTAGGGTTAGGTTGAGATAAGACAACAGTTATAAATACATAATTTACTATTATGGCTACTGTTACGGTTAGGTTGAGGGCAGTCAGCAGGTCTAAATACATAACACAAGTTACTATTACTTAAAATTTCGATTATCTTGTACACAACAACACCAGATCAATCATATTATCAATTTCTCAAAACTTATTTACCAAAGAAAGATGTTCAAGACATATTTCAATATTATGAAGACAACGAAAAAGAAGTGGAAATAAAAGTATTAAAGCAAAGAATCCGTCTTTCAATCTAACCGACATGAAAGTGTTTCTTACGAAAAATGTCAATGATCTGATAATGAAAGAACCTAATAGTCTTTGACGACTACTTAGCACAACGAAGTCAACTGTTCAACAAGAATTCTTCACGAAAGGAAAACATCACAACTGTCACTGTACATTATCAATCCGAAGCTCTTTACGGAATGGATGCAATAAGGAAAAACGCAAATTGTTTTTTATTATTCGAATTAAACAACAAAGATTTATCTCAAATCATAAAAAGAATAAAATCCCCCTATATTCAAAATCGATACAAAATGCTTTATATTAACATTAAAAAAAGGATTAATAGATTTAATTGAAGGGGATGTTGGCATTGCCGATAACAAGGATTTAGTAGCATACTCAAAATTTCTACATGGAATAAGAAAGTCAGGATCCGAAACAAATAGATCGAAAGAAGTTGAAATATATATTTAAAAAAGTTATTGGTAATGAATATGAGGAAATCTGATGATGAATATGAAGTTGACGAAGCAGATGATTATGCTGAAGACAATTCAATCATACAAGAAATAGACGAATTCGAAGATATGGTATCTGGACAAGGTATAACGTTTTTTATCGACAACAACGAGGAATTATTTAATAGATTACAAATAATATTAGCAGTAATGAAAGAAGATCATCAATCACACTGACAATATAATGAAGTAAATAAGCATATTAAAAAGACTCCTCGAGAAAGGTATTATAGATAAAAAAAAGTATCAACAGATAAAACTAAAACCATAAGTTTACTACCAGGAAGCTATAAATACGTAGCCATTAACGATTACCTATCTGAATATGGAGGAAGTGTAAATGGTAAAAACAATATTGAATTCAAAGGTAATTTGAATCTGATCAAAATAAAATTGATAAGGTAATCGAAATCATCAAATGCATAGTTGTCATCCAAACTATGATTCCTTCGCTGTCCGATGCCTTGCTGTAAACGGTAAATAACTTCTAAAAACTTTCTTTTGTTTATCATCATCCTTTGGAATAACTACTCCATTGTCAAAACTTTTCTCCCATGGTTTCTTTCGTCACATCATGTCCACTAGCTAATCGATTATAATCTTCTACAGCTATCTTATCATTAGAGTAACCCTTAAACGTTTTCTTTTCTCTTAAGCCAGAAGTTAAAATTATATCATATTTAACTTTTGGTGCTAAATATAAACCATATATAATTCCACCATCACCGTAATCATTCTTTCCCTTACAATAATCATTTTCAGATAACAACCCAGCTTCATTTGATTTATTCCAATTGCTAGATGAAATACGAATTTCATGCAATTAATACCCACAATATTACCTTCTCCGTTTGTATTTAATTAAAAAAATAATCTCTATATGTTGGAGCTTTAAAATTTTCTTTACTATACCATCTAATATTCTAATAATTCGTCCACCAGCGTTATCTATTTCTTTATCAACCGATGTTAAAACATCTGAACAGAAACCATTTCTAAACGTGATTTTGGTACCAGTTTCCTTTTTATCTTCTTTGTTCGTAAAAGTAATTTATCTTTAGCTGGAAGAACATTATAATTCATTATATTCTTCTGGTAGAAACGGTCTTCCACTTTCCGCTTTAGGATATTCGCTGACATGGCGTTAAACCGTTAGCATCAAAGTTTAGTACAATTTTTTTTTAGTTTTGAATTAACTTCCGTTTTATCTTGATTATCCTTTAAATAAATCAATTATAGTACTACTTGTGTATTCCTTAAATACATTAAAAATTTCATCCATATTGTTTGTTTTAAATGATTTTCTGTTAGCAGAAACTCTTCCTCCTTTAATGGATTGTCTGATAAATCATCTTATAAAAGCGGTGTGTATTTAAACCTTTTCTATGTTTTCTTTGTCAGTGTGTTTTGGAACCATTTTAGTAGTTTCAAACCATTCTTCTTCAACTATTTCTTTATGGTAATGATACAAGTAATACCAACAAAAAAAGAACAGTTAGATTATTGGAAATATTCTGGAATACAACTTCTCTCACTTTTTTTTATATCAAACAAGCTCCAACATAACGTATCTCTTTTAGCATAAGGTTCCCATTCATGTTTAAAAGATTCCCAATTATCTTCGGTGTATTTTGTATTGATATCAGTGATCTTTCTCAAAGTCATTGGTAGATTAGATGAATTTCCCCATTGCAGCCAAACTAGATTTTTCATGTTGACAGGAACATATGAAATTGATATTTTGCAGATAATTAGAGTTACCAATTATTTGTTTTTGTTTTTACAATTTTGTTTTGTAAATATTCATCAGTGAATGAATTAGTTTGAACTAGCGGTAACTAGTGGACATTGTGTTAGTTTTTTTTGTTGCATTTTTAAGCACGATCCAGTTATCAAAACCGCTACCGTTATGAGAAATCTTTTTTGATCTACTTTTCCTAAACGTTGCAATATTTACCCACAAATATTTCTACTATATTCATTAATTTATTATAAAATTCTTCTGAAACACTTTCAATGGGATTTAAATCAACGTAAAATTAAATAAGGAATTGCTATATTAGTTTCTTTTTCGCCATAAGTTTCGGAATCCCATGCGTATAAACAATCATCGTGAATTGTTGGAAAAACATTTAGTTTTAGAGGTGAAACTTGCATTATCATCTCTTCAAGTTATATTTCTTCAATGCCTAAGGTTATGTTATTTCTTCTTATGTGATGTAAAATACCCATATATCTAATTCCTCTTTGATTAAAAATGTCTATTCTATTTTAGGGAATATCATTTTGAAAGTAAGTAATTCTTATTGAATTCACTAATTCTAGCAGTTGTCATAGCACCTTTTCTGTTTGGCTAAAGGATAGCACATTAAAAAATTTCAGATTTTGACTTTTATTGCTAACTTTTTTTCTTTTGATTATAACGTTTTTTTCAACTTCTACAATTTTATTTCGATCGATCTGAAAATCTGTATCACTTCCGGTTTTGACGTCATTCGCTTTTAAAGTTGAAATTGCAACTTCCAGAATTTTATAGATATTTGAAAAATTATTTTTGCAACATGCTAGAATTGTTTATTATTAGATAAGACGTAATCCTGGGATCAGGGTTTAATCGGATTTGCAATATTTTAATGTCTATATTATCAGTAAACGTTTCCTCACAATCGTGTGGGAGCCGATTTTTTATTTTTGATTTTGCTATCGAGTAATTTCCGTTAGATTTACATTTATCTAAGCTGGTTGAAATTTGTTATAACTCGCAAAGTATGTGTTTGTCAACCTTCAGTCTTCATCAAAATAGGACACTAATTTGATCAGTTCCTGACAAAGTTCTCTTGGCTTTTCATTTCAAAAAAGGAATAGGTTTAATAATTTATAACACCTGTTAAATCTTTCATATTTTTATCTATTTATCTACCCACAGTTTTTTTCTGTTTTCTATGTTTCATAATAGTTTCAAAAGCATGTATGACAGATAATCCTGTTTCGTTTTTCAAAGGAATAACCCAAGCACATACCTTGTATATAGATCTATAACTGTTAAGCAATATTTATATCGACTAGTATATTAATTAAATCAGCTTTTTCAAATACTTTAACTTTATGAATTTCATCTGCCAATCCCATACCCAATTTCATCTTTGCTTTTAACAGTTTTATGATCAGAACCCTCTCTCTGAGTGTTGGATTTGGAATATTTTCAAGTTCGATTATCATTTGTTTGTCGGCTTCATTATCTGAACTTTATGTCTTTATTTCTGTATAAAATATCATGTTGAAGTGCAGCAGCATCAACTCTATTGACTGGTTCTTCGCCTGGTTTGGGTTTATGGTTTTCATCTAATCGTAGATCTAACCTAATACCTGGACCAGTGTAGCTATGACATTTTTCTCCAGGATACTTTGAACATGGACATCCAGGAAGAGAGCCCAATGATTTTCTGAACAAGTTTTTGGAGTGTGTGCGACTAACTTTTTCCTTTCTTTTCTTCTAATCTCTTGTTTCGAAGTTGTCTTATAAGTTGTATATATTTCAACTCGTCAGACTTTTTCACTGCGTGACTTATACTCTTTCCCGCTTCTGCGACAGATCCTATAACTTTAGACCTTGAGGAAATGAGAGATTTATTGTTTGTACTTATGGAATTATTTTTGAACCAAAAGAAAATATTGATAAAAAGAAACCGTCGCCTGAATAATCTTCGAATTTGGGCATATAGGTATTTTTTGAGAGCTTTCAATATGTTCGCACTGAAATGGAATGAGCAAGGCCCGTGTAAAGAACATATTGAAAGCTCTAGTGTTGCATGTCCTCTTCCTAGCCCTAGCAGTAGCAATAATATTAATTTATGTATTTAGAACTGATGCATGACCTTAACCTACCCTAAAAGTAACTTATTTATTTAGAACTGTTGCGTGCCCTAAGCCTAACCGTTATAGTAGCCATAGTAATAACTTATGTGTTTAAAACAGTTGTCAGCCCTCAACTTAACCCTAACAGTAGCCATAATAGTAACTTATGTATTCAGAACTGTTACATTCCCTCAACTTGCTCTAACATAACCATACCTCGGACACTTGAAAAAGGGTAATACTTCGAAAACCGGTTCTTGTTAATTGCGTAAGTTTTTGTTTTACTTCATTACTTCCCTTTTTCAATTCATTGTTATTTATTGCGTTATTTATCACCAAAATATACATTTCTGCATTTTTCATCATGACTTAATTATATTATTATTATTATATTATATTATAATTACATTATATATACCCAAACCAGTTAAAAATACTGAGAGGCCACCGCTAGGCCAAACTGTAGTTAACTTGAGCCGCAAAATTCTCACACCCCTTCAGCATTCAATCTTAGACCGTGGACTTAAGTTTATTCCCACACCAAAGATAGCTAACTTGAATTATCTCCGACCATCCATTGAACGATTTCAACGAAATCTTAGCTGCACATATTTTTTTCGAAACCACCACCCACGTGGTGCTAGAACAATGTTTATTCCTAAATCCACGTGGACACCCCCTCAGGCCGCCATCCATCCTGAAATATTGAAATCATTTGCGAGTATGAATAGTCAAACAGTGAACCTTTCCATAACACACGAAAAGCCTAATCTCACACGAGTGGAACGTGAAGCGTTAAACTTACCTAAGAAAGACGATAGCATTGTTATTAAAAAGAGTGACAAAGGTTCATGTTGTGTCATTCTAAATAGGGAGGATTACGTTTCAGAAGCAGAGAATCAACTGAATAATCCTAAACATTATGCCATTTTACCGAAACCAATTTTCAAAGAAACATTAACATGATTAATAATATTCTTGCCGATTTAGTCAAAACTAGTTATCTCAAACAGAAACAATATGACTATCTGTCTGCCAAACCTGATTGTCGCGAGAGACATTTATACACTTTGCCTAAAATCCATAAGAATCCAACCAAGGAGTGGTTTATCTCGAATAAAATCCCTAAAGGCCGCCCGATTATATCTGACTGTGGTAGTGAGTCATATGCAGTGTCAGAATACATTGATCATTTCTTACTACCTCTAGCATGCCAACATCGCCTACCTTAAAGACACAACCGATTTTGTCAAAATAAAAAATCTTCGAGTTCCCTCTAATGCTATTTTAATTTCTATCGACGTTTCTTCTATGTATACCAATATCGATAACACTACTGGTTTAACGGCAGTTCGTAAAGCTTTTAATAGAAACCCAGATCCAAACAGACCCGACGATACAATTCTACAGCTTTTAGAGATTTGTCTTAGTCGAAACGATTTCACATTTAATGGTAAAACATATTTACAAACTTCAGGGACAGCAATGGGCAAACGATTCGCCCCTTCGTACGCAAACCTTTTCATGGCAGAGTGGGAACGTGAGGTGTTGCCCCTCTGTCAATTTGACCCACTTTTTTACGGACGCTTTTTGGATGACATTTTTATGGTTTGGACTTATTCTATCGAACAGTTTTGGGAACTCTTCTCAACAACTATCAAACTAACCGCAAACGTGAGTGACAAAAGCATAGACTTTCTCGATACCACAGTCTTTAAGGGAGATTCCATAGCAGAAACAAATAAACTGGATATTAAAGTGTATTTCAAAGAAACTGATACTCATCAACTCTTGCACAAGAGCTCCTTTCACCCAAAACATACCTTTTCTGGTATAATTAAGTCACAAGTTTTACGATTTCATCGAATTTGTACAAGATCTTCTGATTTCAACCAAGCCTGTACGATTGTTTTCTCAAAACTGAAAGAGCGATTTTTACGAAACATAAAAAATTCCACCTTAGCACAGATAGCAGCTAAAAACAGACTTTATGCCGAAGTACCTCCAGGTTTAAGAAGTGCTCCATGTTTGTCCAGTAGATGCAAAACATGTCCCTTTATATCAGAAACTCATTATTTTGTAAGCAACTCTACGAATAAAAGGTACCCGATCCAGGAACATCTAACATGTGAACATTCGAATGTAATATATGTAATTTCATGCAAGAAATGCCCCAAACAATATGTAGGAGAAACTAAGAATAATTTACGAACTCGCTTTAATGCTCATAGGTCAGACATCAAATTAAAGAAAGACAAGCCTGTTTCTAATCATTTCAACCTCGACGACCATTCAATAGACAATCTCACCCTAATCCCAATTGAGCGTATAGAAATTGACTTGCGCGAAGATCAAACTACCAAATTCCGTCAATCCCATTGGATTGAGACATTGAATACAGCAAGACCTATAGGACTAAATATTCATCATAATGTAGGCATAGCACCCTTTGTTGTCCCGTTTAATACAACCAGCAAACGAGCAAGCAAGATAGTTCATGCCCACTATAAGAGCCTTCAAGAGAAATTCCCCCATGTCTCTAAGCAGAAAATGATAGTTGCATATTCAAAATATAAGAACTTAAATGATAATATTGTTCATAGTAAACTAAAAACAATCAGTACATGACAGATACTATACTTCTCTTATTTTTTCTAATTTCAGTTCAGAATAAGAACAGAAGAAAACCCAATATCAAGACCTTTAATCCTAATTTCTAAATAAAGTGTCTGCTCCAC